ACACGAAAGCGCGTTGGACTGCGTCTCCCCCAACCTGCAAGGGGCTTTGTGGTAAAAGAGAAGGCCCATGTCCAGCTGGAACTCCACACCGGGAGACAGGGACGCCCGTGGGACTTCTGGCTGCAGAAGTCAATCTGCCAGGATGCCCTGCCCTCCTCGCCCCAGCCAAGTCGGCTGTCTCCTCATCAAGAATTGATAGTTAACAGAGTTTCTTAAAGCATGTTTATGCCACAGTAGCTGGCGGTAAGCTTCACCCCCACCCCCACCCGCTTTTTTTAATGTTAGGAATTTCCAACTGCTAAAACCAATTTCCATTTGATTTTGAAACAAACACTTGGAATTGGGGGGAGGGGACATTTGGGCATGGTTGTGGGCGACCTTAAACGGAACTCCACTCCTGCCTGGGTCTTTGCCCTCACTGAGGATCTCAACCTCTGACTCCTCAGGGAATATTGACAAAAATCTTTTTTGAGTCTTGCTTGAGGTCTCAGTTTCGCCGTCTGTAAAATTGGAGATCCTCGGCAGAGGTCCTTCGGGCTTTATGTTTGTGATCTGCGAAGGGGAGGATGGGGGTGGGGAGGAAGTCAGTAAGGACGCCGGTTTGCACCGAGCTTTTGTCTTTCTTTGTAGAGACGAGTCCCTTTGTAAAATAACGCCCTGCCAGACCGCCCGATGGATTTTTGCAGGGCTGGGTTTTAATTTTCCCCACGCAGGAACGACGAAAGAGAGGGGGTGGTCCAACCGTGCGAGTCCCGCGTGACCCTTGTTTAAGCGGCGCTCTCCAAAACGTGCCCAAAGCGGCGCACGCGGGCGCACTCCCCTCCCCCGCCCGGGGCAGCTGTTCCTATTTTGTTCCCGCCTCCCCTCCCCTCACCGTCGTCCCCCGTATTCCTTTAACGCCTGCTGCTGACTGCATCCCTGCTGTCCTTAATGGAGGATGGGTACTTCTCTTCAGCCTCCAAATGAGAAGTGACATTTGCACTCGGCTCAGCCAACGCGTGAGCACAGCGCGGGGACACAGGCCCATTGACCGAGCGCGGCCGAGGGGCCGGCCGGCTCAGCGGCATCCGAAGCCGCCTTAATTAATACCATCTTAAATAGTCTAGCAGCCACCGAAGACAAAGTTGAAGAAAGACTTTAAGGCTGAGTGCCCCTCGACAAGCTCTTTTTCCCCGTGTCATTCAATATTTAATACGCCCGCTTGTAATGCTACTACTGGTGTTCCTTTCTCAGCAAGGACATTATTTTTTCACGGTGCCCATAGCCAGGGAAAGCCCTTTAGGCAAAGAAAATCAAAATGTTTGTTGTTTTGGATGACTTATAACTCTTGTTTAACACAAGCACTTTCAGGAAAGTATAACAGGCGCAGCCTCCAAAGCAAACAACACAATCCTTGTGACAGAGTCGGACACAAAAAGCACATTGTCTGGTGAACTACCCCTTTTCTCTGGTGCTAGATGGGGGCCTGTCCCTGAGTGAACACCACGATGCCATTTCACTTTTGAACTATTGTTTTTGAGTTATGCCATGTGGTCAAAAGGAGCGAGAAGGGGGTCGTTTCCAGGCTCTTAAGACAAACGAGTCGCCTTTTCAATGAAATCCCCCCGCGATCCTTGAAAACGGAGTTTAAATGTCACCTCCGCCTTTCTAATGGGCACAGGGCTGGAGGCGACCCTTCAAAGCGCCTGGGTGATAAACGACCCTTATTAAATATGGCCCGGACTGCTGGGAAAGCCCCGCGCCCGCCCGCGTGCGGAACAGCGCCCCTCGCTGGAGGGCCCCGGAGGAGCGCGCGTCGCCCCTGCACCGACCGAGGCCGGGCGGCCTGCGGTGGGGAGCCCGGCTGGGGGCGCCGGTCGTCGTACAGCTTCTTATCGGCCGCCCCCAACGCGCCCGTGCGCCTCCATCCCCAGAGACTCGGCGTGAGAGGTCGGCGCGCTTCCCCCCTGACTTCTTTTTGTCCTTTCCCGAGTGGCGTCTGCAAGTCTGAGCTGCAAAGTTACTGATTTGCAGGCTGCATGTTAAGGCAGCCCATGGAAGTAATTTCTCCGGGCACCCCAGCAAAGGAGAACAAATCGCTGACAAAGGCGAGCGCTTTCGATTCAGCGGCGTCGTTAAGGCAACCCCAAAGTATTCCTCCTATAATAAGTTCCACTTCAAAGCGTTTCTCATTCAGCGGTGACTGCTTCGCACTTTTATTAAGTCCGGGCTTTTTCACTCGGAGGAATCATCTGTTTGGTTATTTTTCATCGTGTTTATTTTTCACCATTCACACAGTACTTGTATTAAATAAACAAAGAACAATCGCTCTGCAAATAAAAGTACTTAGGTGGGGAGAGAAGGAAGAGGAACTGGGGCTCTGGAGCCCCTGCCCCTCCTCCCATCCTTCCAACCTCACGCACCCCGCCCCGCCCCCACCCCCACCCCCCCCCCC